ACTTAAAGTACTTGAATAAGTTACCCCAGTGTGAAAAAAATTATATTTCTTTAGGTTTTGGCCTAAGGCTTAAAATTTACATATAATATCTCTTGAACTTGGATCATTGGACTTTGAAAGTACATTCTAATAATATTATGAGTCATCCTTTTAAACATTTATAGAGTTATGTACCTGTACCAGTTCTCCACAATGAATGTCATCACTATGTACTGCAAACGTATACTAATAAAAATTTTAAAAAACAAATAGGCCCACAAGCCTAATTTTCCAGGAAATAAGCAGTGCTTTTACTGCAGTGCTTTTCTTGAAAAGCCTGAGTGAAAATAATTCAATAAGGTATATGTTTCTATTTAATAATACAGCTCGCTGTGAGCTGAAATATTATAGAATGTAGCAAAATTATAATCTAAAAAATACTCAGTATGCCAATACTCTGTAATAAAATTTAGTTCTTCCACTTAACTGACATTAGAACACATTGTGATGTGGAAGAATTATTAGCAAATTAGTCATGGTATACTCTCTTTTCTATTATAATCATGTTTTTGAAATGAGCTCTCCCAATTTTCCTATTCCTATTACCTATAGCAGTGGTGGCCAACCTATGGCACATGTGCTTCAGTGAGCTGTTTGTTATTGAAAGCTCTAAAAGGTTCAGCATCACTAATTTATAGGAAAGAAAATAAAAAGTTTCACAAATGCATGTGAAAATTATTGGAATTTTTAATTTTATACACTCTTTTCATGAAAATATTACTGGTAGGAAAGCCCAGCAATTTTTACATGGTTATTTTAAACAGTGAAGGCACAAGTAGTTCTTTAAGTAATTAGTTAATACTTTGTTTATTATCTGTAGCCATCGTGTCATATGAATAATGCACAGGTTTCCTGGTATTATTAGTATTGTATATTAATGTTTAAAAGGGAAAATAACTTTTAGTCTTTAGTATGAGTAGGCATTAGGTAAAATTTCCTTATTATTTAATGTATTTAGTTGTCCTTAGAGAACACTGAAGCCATTGTTTCTGGTTTTTTTTTTTTTGGTATATCCTTTTATTGGTACATTTTAGGTGTACAGTATAATGACATTCATCATTGGAGATATGCACCTTTACATACTCTCTTGGTTCTTATTTTGCCCCCTTCCCCTGCCCTCCCTTCAACCCCTCCCTCCCTCCCTATTTACAAAGACTTT